CTAAATGAAATTTTTAGATAGATCCTTAAAATATAGAAAAAAATATCAGATTACTGTTGAATAGGAGGAGGCAAGTGCTATGCAAGAGAAATTGCTTCAGGGAAAAAAGGGGTTGACGACCATAAGCTAAATCAGAACCCTGTGGCACAGAGGAGGAAGACGAAATCGTAAACGGTCACTTCATTTGCACCGGCATTGGCTGTTTATATCTGTTCTTGTATTTAAAATAATGACCAAATTAATTCTTGTCAAATTCAAATGTGTTGAAGCGTGTTTTATGTCGGCTGGAGCGCATGCCTTTGGTATTAACCAATTAGATCATAAGGCAAGCACCGAGGCCGCCGTGTCACCAATCCTTTCCCATGGCGTTAGATGTTTGACGCCTTCAAATTTTTTCCCCTCATTGCGTTTAAAGCAAGCTGACTGGTGACACAGCGATTAGTTAAATATTTTGTGATAACTTCCTACGAAGTCGTGTCGGAATGCATGAACAAGTCGCAGCTTCATTCACATATGGCCAATACTTTAAATGTGAATGCGATCTCAGAAGACTCCATATTTAAAGCGGGTTTGAAAATATGCCGAGCTTCAGGGGGCTTTTAAAAATCATTCCACAGTTGTGGAATGACTTTCAGTACCATACAGACGCTCAACATCTCGCACAACACGTAGGCAAGATGGTAACGCCCTTGTTTTTTGTCATGGGTAAATCAGTAACACCAAATCGCCTAATCGTGGCCTGTTATTAGCTACTTACATTCTAATGCACAAAAAAAGGATACAACAACACACGATCGTGCATTTCGTGGTGTTTTCGAACAAAAAAGATGTATTTCGATGGCAGTTGGAGAGGGGTTGGTTATCTCTAGGACCATTCTCTAGCCGTGGAGGCGACGCCAACACATTGTTGAAAAAGTACCTCACAAGTAGTTAAGTCGCCGCTGTCATTGACGCTTGGCGAGCTTTCGTGAAATGAAGAAGGCATTTTCTTGTTAAGTGGGAAGGCAAAAGGTGGAATTTGGACGAAGATTTCCCTCTGCTTGCTATTCGAAATAGAAATTTTGTGACTGCGCGATTTGGATTTTGTATCCAATTTGTCATTTTTTTCAAGCGAGAATACAGTAAGGATATATTTTATCCAAATTAAATTAGTGAAAAATAATGACCATTTTCTCCAATCGTTGAAAATAAATATTTCTAAAAATAAATCGGCTGGTGGTAGATTTTGGTCAGTTTTGATCTATTTCATATATTTATGGCTTACGCAATAGGGTCAATTACTGTTCAGTTTTAAATCACCTGAAAACGAGAATAAAGTCCTTTGAAACGTCCGCCAAACATCAAATTGCGAAAATGTCTACTGCTGCAGTTCCTAAACCATCTCGGCAGCAAAATTTTTCTACAGCACTTGAAGCGCTGGTACAAAAGGAGGAAATGGGAGCATTGCCTACTGCCTTCTCAATCTTGGAACGGATGGGACTTGGCTTTATTGTGCCACACAAAAGCGGTTGGAAGTACAGTTGTGTCAACTTGAACGGTCTGCGGACAAACATACGCGACCGCACGCACGCGCGCACGCACGCGCGCACAAGGAGGCACGTCCGCACCGTTGGCTCTCGCTGTTATCCCTAGTTTATTTGGACCGCTCCGATTCGCTCCCCCCGAACACGTCTTTAAGATAAAAAGCGCCACTTTCGATTTCTACCTATTAGATCACTTTACTAAAGCACACTATTTTGCGCTTCATAGTAAAGCATTTGTCAAAGCAGACCATGACCATTACTACCCCCATGAAGTGTGGCATCGTCCTAGTTGCGCTTGCCTTGTTAATGCTAGGCAGCTGTCCCCTCATCCATGCTCTCTTCAGACAGCCTGCAATAATGGATGGAACACTGCTTGAAGTTCCGGACCAGGAAGAGGAGGAGAGGATGTGGGTGGACCCAACCCCCAAAATCGAAGATAACGATGGCAACGACGTGGACGATGTTGGGACCAAACGAACGCTGGAGGAGGCAGAGGAGCGAGAGAAGGAAGCAAAGCGAAAGGCTGACGAGGAGGAGGAGGAGTTTGAACGACTGATCCATATTGAAAAATTCAAAAGGACTTTGTTGCAACGTCTCCACTTGACCTCCCCTCCTGACTTCAGCCATCACGGTGGTATGGCCAACCGAACACATGGAAGACGTGTGCTTCGATCCCTTCCATTGGCTCTTCAAGGACGCCTCTTAAACCAGATGCGTGCTGAAGATGGAATGGCAGAGCCACCACCGGATAGAACGGACGAGAGGGAAACTCTTATCCTTCTCAAACACCGTAAGACATAAACCATTCTAGTTAGCTCTACGCCGAACGCATCCCTTAAAATATTTCAAGCAAACAGTATCCGTTAGTTGATGTAAAGCAATCACTGTTCAATCGAAGAGATGGTGAGGTGAATTGAAGGTGGATCAGATCTCAAGGTTACTAGTTGCGGTCTTGCATTTAGTACTTGGACAAGGTTATATTTTTCATTTTCCTCGTAGCGAGCACTCTTTACTCCGGAATAGTTTTACGCACTCCTTGTGAAGGCATTTCCGTGGAGAAGATGCATCACTACTCGAGTGACGTGGCATCCGCTTAGTGGTTTTTTTGCAGTATGCCAACTGTGCTTCAACTAATCAGCTTAGCCGGTTGTGTTTGTGCGTGTTGGTGGCAAAACAGTGTGACTAGGTCACAGGCACAAAAACCGTCCTAAGGGTCTAGAAAAAAGGGTGAATCGTGCCACTGCCACTACTGCCTCGCCTAGTATTAACATGAGTTTGCAGCACGTGCAACTCTGACTAATCTTCCCGGTTGAATCATTTGCACGCGCGTGCCAAATTTACACTATTGAGGAGTGTGTCCTCACTCCCGGAGACCAGCCCCTTGATGACGTATACTTTTGGTTTAAAATTAGCAGTAGGTACGACAACAGTTACCCGGAATGTGGGTGTTTGTGGGTATGTGTGAAGACGGAGACATCACCTCGTTTTGGGAGACATAGGCCGCCAAAAACCTACATGTGTGTCGCTTCCGTCTTTGATGACATCGGTGAAGAGGCAGTGGTTTGGCTTCCTTTTTAAATTTTCTCTCAGTATGATGGACGTACATTAGGCAGAAATGAGAGAGACGAATTTTATTATATCCACTTTTCAGTGCACTGGAGGCTACCAAAAGTTGCCTCTGCTACTTTTGGAATTGAAATGGCTGATGACATCGACCCCTCGAGAATTCAGTCGGCTTTTCTCCGATTTGAAGTGAGTTCTAAAATATCAGCACCTAACGGACTTTTAAACAGGCGACCGATCAAAGTACGTGCCTTTTTCGATAGACGAAGAACCCGATGTTAAAAGGCCAGCACGTTGAGGTTTGGGAGATCTTCATGACTCCGAGTGAGGAGGAAGGGAAAATGACGAACGCAGCGGTAGACCAACCGTCTTTGGAACAATACAATAACCTGACGTGGATGTTCGAACGACAACCCACCAAATACACGAGTCTTCCAGCACCCACAGTTATTCGTCGATCCTTAGGGTCCCCAATGGAACGCCGTCGAACTGGTTCCATCCGCATTCGTCCGGGTCGTCTGGCGGAGACCTTTGTGCCGAGTTGTCCGGGTTTGGTTCAAGTCACCTTTGAAATCAGTGGCTCCTTCGCCCAGTGGATGTCACATAGGCGGCGAATGCCACTGATGCGAAAACTAGTCCGCTCTCTCATTGTTGTCTGTCCGGATTGCAGCAGTCATGTAGATCCTGTTGATGTTAACAAGGTACGTGTCTATGGAGTTGATCAGTTGGGCCATGGCTACCTTCAGAAGTGTGGCAATAACTTATATTACTGTTTTTATTTCAGGGCATCCTTGAAATTCATCACCGCAATATCGTTCGACGAACACGGAGGTCGCTTGACACCAACAGCTCTCAGCATGTCCCCATCGGGAATCCGTGCAGCCCGAAGGGACACAAGTTCAGCTGCTGTACGCAGCCCTTCTCGTTGAACTTAGAGGATGTTGGTTGGAATAACTGGATTCTTCATCCAAAAACCGTTGAACCCAACTACTGTCACGGTTCTTGCCAAGGTAAGTCTTTGTTGTTTATGCACATTCTTCCTTATTTAAACATCTATTTTCATTGAAATGCCTACAAAGATGTAGATAAAAGCCAATTTACTTGGCAAATATTTATTTTTTGATTTTCTTGCAGATATTAAGGCAAGAACTTAAAAAATGTAGTATTCTTAAGATTTTGGTGGTAGAATTCATTGATGCATGAAAGGAGGAGGTGGGCTCATTAAGAGAGGGAAATCGGAACAAGATGTTGCAGTGTTTTTCTCCTGAAAAACCGAAAAATGTGGAGGCACACCTGCGAATGTAATCACTGATGTAGAAACAGTAATGACACTTTAATTTAGCCCCACCTCTTCATAGAACAAAATAAAACGAAAAATCTTTTTTTATAACTTATTACAGGTAATGCTACAGAACTCAGATTTTGAAGGCTTTTTCATCATGAGCTTTCGAGTAGCTCACTACTTCTGTTATTCGTTATCACTGTAATGAATGCTAGAATGTGTTGGGCGGAAGGAAATATCCTCAGCGATCTTGAAGGTACTGTGGCACTTAACAGGAAAAAATTGCGGGTGGATGTTTATCAGGGCAGCATGTTCCCTGAACAGAGTACATAGAAGGTAAATAAATGCAGCTGCCTGAAGGTGTTCTATGACTTCATCCAAAAGGAACCTATTTTTCCCTCCATTTATTTCACTAACAAGCTTTTTTGTACTCTTGGCGAATGAATTGCTGATTACATTCATTTTAAAGTCGTAAAGTGTCCAAAGTTGAGCGATTTGCTATTTTTCCAAATCCCTACAAACTATCATTATGCAATTTCCTGAATTAGAGTGCAAGAATGGGGCGCTTTTATTCATCCAATGTTTTTGCTACTTCAAGCATAACTTTTTTTCCTACTTGACAGAAGTTGTGTGTGTGTGTGTGTGATTGTGTAATGGAATTGAACAGACACTCATTAATCTACGTTAGAAGGGGCCGGAGGAATGAATGCCTTGAAGAGGGTAACACTTGCAACAATGCGCGACACCAAAAGTGCAGCGCGTTTTTGTAGGGCAAAGCGACAAACGCATTAGTAACATAGCATTTACGTGGTTATTTATTCCTTACCTACTTATTTGGTTAGTTTTTTTGTGGGGGGAACCTAAAAAAGCCCTTTTTTCGGACCAAACGAAGCGTTACACAATCGAGGCGTAGATGGCGAAAAGATAGGCCGCGCAAAAGAGGGCAGACTGGATGGGGGCTGGAGAGGTGGCATGATAATATCACCATCACACAAGCCTGCGGCATTTTCTGTATTATCACACTCATCCACAGAATCTACACTGTTGGTTATTGTGTTGTGAAGGTAAATATCTTAAAAGCCCAGCATACACAAATAGCGATAATACCTTGAAGCCTTGTTACCAAATCGCGCCCACAGCTGTAAGAAGAGGGAATTCTGTGGTCTCATTCATTCATTCCTTCCCCTCTACTGATCTGACCAGATAATGCCCTTACTTTGAAGTGATTATGCAGTCATTGGTACCACTGCGCATATTCCGATGTACCTCACATGTCTGGACTTGGCGGAATGCTTTGTTTGGCTGATCGGCATATGAAAAATGTGGTTCTGTTAACGTCCGGACTAATAACAAGATTTTCTCGCTGGCCGATCACAATTCGATGCATGTGTTCCGCGAATTTCTTTTGCTTGTGGAAGCAGATTCCTACACTGCCATGTCGCAATTATGCATCAGGAGGTGAACATAACTTCTGGAACGTACGGAATGCTATTCCCGGTTGATGAATTTGGCCATTGGGGAGCATGAATAACGGCAGGCATAAGCTCGTAAATTACATGGCAATAAAGGCATGACATATCGCAGAGCCCCTTCTTATTCAGTCCCCCGAGTTTTGGTTTTCATAATCTTATTACTGGGTGCATAAAAGTCCAATCAACATGATTTTCCACTTCATGATATCGTGGGGTGTTAGTTCCCTCTAAATAATAAATATTTACCTGATGGTACCATTTCAGTACCTCATGTGGATTACTCGATTCTTCTTTTCATCCGCCCTACGCCAATACGGCCTCTTTTCCTCCAGGACCGTATTTATTACTCCGTAGAATAGTTTGCAGTTGAGTGTTCGGCAGGATCAAACCTAAACCAAATGGTGCTGCTCATCGACTGCTCTTCCCTCCGAGTTTGCGTCTTCTTTTGCTTTTTGTTGGTCTATAGTTTTCATTTAGAACCTGAAAAATTTCTAGCACGTAATTTAAAGGACATTACCGAAAAGCATCCAAAAAGTGAAACAGAAAACAGTTTTATGACATTGTTTTAACGATGGAGTGTCTAAAATCCAGCCTAAAGGTTGAAATTTTGTATTATTTTCAGCTGACGGGATTCAGAAGACCCCGCATTCTGACCTGATGCACTTGTACCGGAGTCAAAATTACGACCGCCTCTCAGAAGTTCAGCGGGAAGCGATGCTCTCCTGTTGTCACCCCGTCAAGATGGCAAGCACCAGTGTGCTCTACGTGGATCCCGACAATGAGTTGCACATGGACACCCTTCACAACATCATTGTCCTAGAGTGCGGTTGTAGTTGAGGCGTTATCTCTCTTCTATCAACATCTTCTTATGACAGGGACACACCAAATCTATATCCTCCCCGCATTTACACTCTGCCTCCCCTTTCCCCTCCTTCCCTCAATTGGTAATATTGTAACACGGTGCCTGTGCGTTCGTGCCGATATCTCATTCCATGTTTGCATTCTATACCTATACGTATGACACACAAATACGCACACATTCAGACACAGAGAACTCGCGCCAGACCGATATTTGGTGTCGTTTGTTTTTCTCCCTTTTTCACATAAATCCAATTAAAGATAATTCAAATTACAGAGGAGTTTGTGAAAGGACACCGCGCTAACAAAGACATCAACAGAGCGGTAAAATTGGAGCACCTCGAGGAAGACCTACAACATTCCACTCGAAAACCGATTTGACATGATCCCCTCCATTTCACTTTTCATCCCATCCCACCACGCACACACACAAATAAACACCGAGAGCAGAATTTTACACGCCCCTCCCCTTCTTCTGTCAGTAGTGGTGATTTGATGTGTGGTTTTCCCTTCCCTTTCTTGCATGTTCCCTTCTATACATATATGTGTCGCCTTATTGTTATATCCAATTTGCTGTTGTATTTGAGTGCGAGAGTGAAGGAGTGGGTGAACATCTATGTTTGTAGATGTCCGGAGCCACAGCCGTCACCATTGTCACCTTAACACGCCTCATACAGCTACACAAATTTTTCACTACTGGACAAATATGTTTCTTTTCTGTTTCTCATGAACATTTCTGGTGTGGGTGTGTGGTTAACTCCTGTCTAGTTGTAAAGACATCAGTCAAAATAGGGGGTGATCGGCACTGGAATGGTTTTAAATAATTTATTTTAATCAGTTTGCTTTGAGAAATAAACGTAAAGATGCAAATTTGGACTTAGGGGAAATTTGCTCCTGACCTCCTCCGTTCTCGTACAATTGTTAGAAAGCCTCTAAATAAGTATCTGAGGTAAAATCAACCGGTGCTTTGAGGCAAGACTTTCCAAAGCAAAGACCCTCAAGCCTACTTCTTTCATTCTAAAAAGCAAGAAAGTGCTACCTTCTGTGGGAAGCCGTCGGATAGATTATAATAATTAGAATAAAGTAGAAAGTTTTTGAGGAAATAAGATGTCTGAAGGTCTTCCTAATTGCGTCAAATCAAAAAAGTCAGTCAAAGGCAGCGGGAAAGAGGGTGCGAACGTATCAAGTGGTGTCAGCGGCTGTTCCAACGCTTGATTAATTGTGTCAGGGTTAGAAGTGGGGATTATTGAGGGTGATTAGCAAAATTTTTTTCAAAATTTCATACTGTTGACATTTAAATCCATCAAGACATGGTTTTTCCCAGAAAGAGACACTTCTGTGATGACAAATAGTAACCGTAAAAAGTATGATAAAGGGATTGGCTTATTTTCAACTACTGGACATGACTAAAATGCGAAACTACGGAAAAGCTTTTTTGAATTCATTGCACCAAGTTACTTAAAGTAAATGAAGAGCATGAATGGGTGAAAGGCACTTTATTTTGGACAACGTCAGTCATTTTGTTCCCCAGGTAGGTAAAGTATGGCGATGTAGAAAGTGGTTCAAAGAAAAATTTGACGTCTTCGTCAATATTTGCGGTGTGTGAAGGTCAAAGGGGCTGAGTTGTCAGCATCTTAAAACTGGTTCCTCAATGCATACAGCCCTCAGTCCATTGCTTTGTGGCTGGGACGCGCCAGGAGAGGGGACGGCAGGGGTCAGAGATTGTCCAAAATCCAATTCAATTGCTTATGGACGAAGGAAATCATTTGAAGGAATTCCAGTACTTGGGGCTGTCACAGTGGACGAGATGTTGGAGAGTTCAGTTATTCTATAGATAGCTGCTAATCGTAAAACACATCCGATTAAATTGGCTCAATTTACTTTAGTCGTCTTCGTATATAGGAAAGGTTTGTTTCATTCCATTTTTTTCGAACTAACATTGGACTAAACGACCCGCGATTGATTTATATCTAGACGTCAATTATTCCCCAACATACTGGAATACTCGGCTCGTTGTCCTCTGTGAAACAGTCTTCCATCCTGTTATTTCACCTTGACAATGTAAGCATGCCCAAAGTGGGGAAGATAGAGGAGACAGGGGATGAGGAAAAGGATTGACTGCGAATCCCATATAGGCAATTAAATACTAATTGTTGTACTCCCTCACCTCTTCCTCCTTAGCCATCTCAGACAAAGCCCTACTCATCCTGCTGAAACACAACAGGAAGCACTTCTGCCGTTCACACAGCTGCACCGATGAAAGGTCCAAGTTGTTGACGTTGCACATCTTTTTGGTGTTATTCAACCATTTGATGCAGTGTTGGTGACGGGCATTCAATTGCACCACTTGGGACAAATAAATTTGGCTGATGAAATATGATGAAAAATGATGAAGTAATTTGACAGCTACCCCATTTAATTACATGCTTGGCTTGTGATTTCCTTCATTGAACGACCTTGGGGCAGCCAATACAGTCCCAAGGCATTAATGCGTAAGGCAATGGCATTTGAAAGCTTTAGTAGGCTACTTTCACTGACTTCAGACATTATCACTTTCACTGAAATCTTGTTAAAGTCACAGCAATAGAGACTGGAGGTGTTTGACTGGACAGGTCATCACATCTACTACATATGCGCAAGGTTTGCAAAGCCACAATTTCTATCCCTCACGTGAGCGTTGTAAACTTGATCCTTCTGTTGTGATAGGTATAAGCGAATGGTCAGTCGGGCTCTGAAAACCGTCACTTACTTTTCGACTGAGCATGAATTGTCAGTGAAAAAATATGCGATTTAGGTTTAAACAGCTCTTTGGGGGAGTATTTATAAGGATGTACTACAGTTTAAGTCTTTGAAGCGGGGTCCCTTGAATAATCATTTTTATAACGCTACTTCTCTTTCATTTCACCTTGTTTATAGTAATTTCTCTTTGACAGAAAACTTCGTTATGGAAGTCTTCGAGTGCTATCATTACATTCCGTAAATCCAATCTCAAAGAATCAGATCAGCAATGCTATTATTCCGTGGAAACCTGCTTCATTGTTGGCACCCAATAGGGTTTCCACCTGAATAAAAGGTTTAAAAGGGAGGTAAAGAAATATATTCTGTGTGCGTTAAGGAAATTTCTTCGCGATGAATGTGAATTTGTATTGAAAAAAGGAGCGATCAAATTTGGTATGAAATGCTAAGATTGAAAATGTGTTATCTTTTTGTGTGGCCGAAGCTGATGCACCACTAGATTATTTCAAAGCCTAAATGAAAATGCATTTGCTTAACAAGGGGCATGCCGCTTTTACTGGTCTCTTACTACATCCTTTTTAGGACGCATCACTACCAATTAAGAGAAGTTTTTTTTCAAAACTGTGGTCACTATGGTCTGTCTTCTCCACGTTTCGGCGTGATCGGAGGGAGGTTCCAGATACTTTCCTTCATTTACGTAACAAATGAGGTGGCCACAGGTTTCTCTCAAAATCGGTGGGGTTGATCTGACAGTTTGGCTGTTAATGCATCTGCTCTGTATCTAATGGATGCTGTTTTTTGTAACGCTTTTGTTGATATCAATCATGATTTGATACTGAGGCGGAAGAAGTGCGAGTACTCACGATTTAATCAGCGTTGAGGCAATTGGCTAACGGGTGCGCAACTCAGACCAATCATATGGCTCATGCTTTTCGCTCTTGTCAGCATTACTAGCATTATTGCCAACACCATCATCATCATCATCATAACACTGGTAATAATTGTCATTATTATCCATTAAAAACCTCATGATTAATGAGCACGTGGGGGGTCGCGTTCATAACCTTTTCGCATGGGGCAACAACTCTCAGGTGGTTGGAGGAAAAGGTCAGGCGAAGATAACAATAAAAAATGCGTCTTCCTTCTCCTTCACCGCACGGGGGTGAGGGGCCCTTGCACGTAGCCGGAAAGCAGTGGCGGCCAATGTTGTGAAAATACGAGGTTCTCTTGCCATCGGGAATTTTTCAAATAGAATTCCATTGGATCTGCGCCAGTGACCTTTCTGCGGCGTAGCCCCTCTAACCCTTGCCTCACCACCCAAACATCTGAAAAAGGCGCAGGAATATTTGAGGGGAAAATGCGAATATGTATGCATTTGTGTTTGTGTGTGAGTGAGAGGGTGAGCTTTAAAAAAATTCTGCACTATAATGTCTTCTTTTCATTTCGATTGCCTATAAATATCTGCACTAATGGGGTTTTAATAGCGTTAAACCTCTACTTTTCAACATTTAAGATAATCCCAATTAAGGGTGGAGAGTGACGTTGATGAAACTTTCTGTCCGATTCTTCTGACAACCTAAAGTGGTTCTACGGCTCTTGATAACATCATCTTACAGGTGTTCATCAAGCAGCATAATCTAGAAGTTATGCCTCAATGTCACCTCTTTATTAAAGAATCGCCTCAGTAGTAACTTTTTGATGAGGTGTTTAAGATCCAACTGCTCTGTAAAAGCGTTAAAATTTCTTCATTTTATATTTAAAACAGTCTCTCCATCAGCCCTGAATGAATAAAATATCTGTAATTAGAAATCGGTCATCTTTGGTCTAGTTTAATAATCGAACTGTTGAAGGAGTTAAATATTCCCAAATGGTTGCTATTAGCTCCGAATCGGAGTATTCGATGCCCTTATTTAGGGTATTGATCGTGTTCTTAACTTTACATGAAAAAGACCATAAATTTAGGATCATGTCCTTCTTCAAATTGGTATGGTGGTAGTGGTTAATTGAAAAATGTGTAGGTAGCTCACTTAAATGGTTATGATCGGGGATGCTCAGGTTTTAGAAAGGGGATTTTTGTTCCTTTCCATTAGCCTCCATCATTATAGATACACTTATAGCATCCTCTTGATATGAAATGCCCCCGTTCTGGACTGTGGCGCTGTGGAGGAATCGCTGTTACTAAGATCTTGCCAACACAAAAAGTCCACCGATCCCAAGTAAACATTACTCTCCGCTCAGTTACC